CAAGGGTATCGCTGTGAGGTCTTGGTGCCCCTGACACAAGCCGTGATATTTTCAGTCGCCTCGTGTGCAAGGGGAAGTTGGACATTACGTAAGGAAGACTGAAAAATTGATGTGTTTGCGTTAAGGTTCAGGTGAAGAATATTGAAAGTACCATGGAATGTCAAAAGATCAAGCAAATCCATCTTGGCACAGGTATAGCCAAGAATGCCACTTAGAACCCAAGATGGTGAGACTCCATCTCCTGTACTTTGGACATGCTATCAGAAAAGAGTGGTCCCCCAAAAAAGATACCGTGCTTGGTAAAGTAGAAAACCCAAAGAACCCAACTCACTGCCAGAGTCAATGCTGACGCATAGTGGTTTGCCACGACTGTAACTGGTGATGGGAGTAGAAAACCCAGTGTTTCTCCCTCAGAGCTGCTGCTGCTTTCAAACTGTCAATCATATGGAGAATAGCCCAATGTGTAACCACTCTACCACCAGCGCTCCTTTGGTAAAGTGTAAGGTCAATGGAAAAGAGGAAGCCTTTCAATGGGATGGATGGACACAGTGGCTGCAACAATGGGCTCAAACATAGGAACAGTTGTGAGGACGGGGCAGGACCAGGCAGTGTTTTGTTCTGTTGGATATTGGGTCACTGGCAGTCAGAACTGACCCATTGGCACCTAACAACAACAACAATGCCCTTTCTAACCCTTCCTATTCTGTGTCTTTCAGATCTCAGTTCAACACACTCTTGGTCAAAAAGCCTTTCTAGTCCCCTAAGTAAAGTTGCCCTATTACATGCTTTATTCTCTGGCTGTAGTACATTTTCTTGACAGTCCAGTGTTATACTTCAATAAGTATCAGTGCAGACAGCAGAGGCCTTGTCTATATTAATCACCATTGTAACCTTGGTTGTCATTAGGCCTAGCATGTGGTAGTCACTTTAAATATTTACTTATTTTACCAATGGGTTTGTGTGATAAGGCTAATTTTGATTCAGGTTGTCACAATACTTACTTATTCTTATTTAGATATGTATAGTGCTTTATATCTCTCAGAGGATTTAAAAAATATTTCTTCTTCTTCTTCTTCTGCATCCCTTTCTAATGATAGTCATGTAAGCAGACTGGACAAAGATGTTATCTGTGTTTTAGAGCAAAAGCAAGTTTGTGGTGGAACAACACTTGACTATAAATGATCCCTCTTGCAATTATATTCCTGTTACATCCTTTACTTTACATTATGCAAAATTGCCTAGGGGTTGGCACATTACAGGATAAATCCTCAATCATATTCTAACTTAAGACAGTTTTACAAATGATTTAAAATGCCTTGGGTCCTTGGATGCTATCCACCATACCTTCTGAGAATTCTTGTGATTTGTGAACTAGTTTCCCAAATAAATGCCAAATCAGATGAATAATGGATTTAGTTGAAGCACTTCCATCTCTGAGAGTCATGAGAGACAGGAGATGATCAAGCAAGCATGAAAAGCATGTTCCAGCAAAAGAAATCTTGTTCAAGCAGTGAAGCAAATCCAGTGCAATCCCTCACGGTCTCCATTCACATGGCGATGGAATCCTGCTAGGTCATTTAGCTTTGTTTAATTTATGAGTGAGTTTGGAGGATTTCTTTGACCTTTTCTGCACTCAGATGAGCAAGCTTACTGATAAGTCAGTAAAAGCAGGCAGATGATAGTTTACTATCTTATCAGAGACTTTAACTACAAAAGAGAAAGGGTATGATAAGCTGTTGCTCCTGCTGTTGTTGATAGGTGACACGTGTTAGGTGCTTCTGACAGTGACCCTATGTGCAAAGGAAGAAACCACTGGTCTGGCCTGTGCCATCCTGACAAAGGTTCTTATGTGTAAGCCTACTATGGCAGCAACTGGGTAAACCCATCTCATTAAGAATGCTCCTCTTTTTCACGAGCACTCAACTTTACCAAACATAATGTCCTTCTCCAGGTACCGGTCTCTCCTGGTCACATGTCTAAAGTATGGGAGACAGTGTTTTACCATCTTAGTTTCTAAGCAGCATTCTGGCTATATTTCTTCCAAGATAGAGTGGTTCATTTTTCTGGAAGTTCCTGGTACATTCAATATTCTTTTCCAACACCATAATTTAAAGGCATCCATTCCTGAGTTTTCCTTACTCATTGTCCAGCTCTCACATACAGCCGAGGCAACCGAAAACACCATGGCGTGGGTGATCCCCTGGAGTCCTCAAGGTGGCATCGTTGCTTCTTAATACTTCACAGAGGTCCTTGCCAGCAGATTTCCCCAATGAAATGTTGCTTGTTATATACCATGAGCTGCCAGACTGTTGCTTCCATGGGCACTGATTATTGATCCAAGTAAAATGAAATCCTTGACCACTTCAATATCTTAACCACTTACCAAATTGTTGTGCATTTGGCCGGTTGGAAGGATGTTTGCCTTCTTTATGTTAAAGTGCAATCTATAATAACAGGTGTAGACTTTGATCTTTATCAGTAAGTGCTTAAAGTCTTTTTTCACCTTCAACAAGCAAGGTAATATCATCTGCGTATCGCAGGTTGTTAGTGAGTCTTCAATCTCAGATTATTTGCTCCGCATACAAATTGAATAACTATAATATACACTTGATCCTGCACAAGACTTCTTCAGTGTTGAAAAGCAAGGATTTTACTTTGAGGACTAAGGTGTGCCTGACCAGAGCCATGGTATTTTTCCGTTGCCTCATATGCCTGTGAAAGTTGGACATTGAGTAAGGAAGACTGAAGAATTGATGCATTTGAATTGTGGTGCTGGAAAAGAATGTTAAAAGTCCCTCGAAGTGCTAAAGGGACAAATTGCTCTATCTTAGAAGAAGCAAGGCCAGAGTGTTCCTTAGAGGCGAGGATGGCAAGACTTCGTCTTATATACTTTGGACATGTTGTCAGGAAAGACCAGTCCCTGGAGAAGGACATCATGCTTGGTAAAGTGGGGAGGCAGCAAAAGAGAGGACGGCCCTCCAGGAGATGGATGGACGGACAGCATGGCTGCCACACTGGGCTTACGCATAGAAACAAGTCTGAGCACGGCACAAGACCAGGAGGTATTTCATTCTATTGTGCATGGCGTCCCTATGGCACCTACCAACAGCAGCCCCCGATGCACATCTTTCATGGCTTTAACCCATGCAGTGTCCCTTTGTTCTGTCCAAACCGCTGTCTCTTCCTGTATATATGAAGTCTTTGATCTTTACCAGTAAGTCCTTAAAGTCGGTTTCACCTTCAACAAGCAAGGTTGGTCGAACATATGTATATACGTTCCTAATGAGCACAATTAAGTGTTCTGAAATCATCATTCTTCTCATTGTTAGCCACAATTTGCCATGGAATATATTTTGGAACAGCATGGCTAAAAGATTCAATCATTAAGAGCTTTTACTGCCAATTTACTAAAATCATATTTCATAGATAATAAAAAATGGATGTCACAACCCATGTTTCTTATCGAGCTGTATGCAGTGACTTGCAAACCTCAAGGCACTTTTACAAAGTCTTGAGCCATAGAAACTAAATGCAGTAAATGATCACTTCTCCTCAGACGCCTTTGAAATGCGCATGTCTCACCGAGTGACAGGTTCAGTCATACCTATAGGCAACTTTTTGTTTCTCTAACTACTTATTTCTAATGAATATTTTTAATGAAATAAGTACTTAAAGCAAAAATAGAAAGAAGAGGAAAGAAACAGACTGAAACAAACAAACAAAACCTTGCCTACAACATGTGACTGACTCTGCCCCTTGGGGCATTTGCATGTCAATGGACTCTGAAGTGAAATGATCCATGTACTGCATTTCATTTGTATGGTTCATGATTTTGTAAAAGTGCTTGAGTTTTGCAAGTCACAGCACAAAGCCTGATAATAAGCATTCATTGTGACCTTGAGTCTTTATTAACATTGAAACATAATTTCATAAATTGACAGTTGTGTGATTGCATCTTTTCCCCCAGCTGCCCCGCAAATTGAACTGCTACTTTGAGACCCTTGTAGCGTAGAATATACTATATCCCCTTTGTATATTGTAATAGTTCCCAAAGTCTAAAACCATACTCCTTGCCATTGAGTTGCGTCCCACTCAGCAAACAATCGAAATGATAGAGTGTGACTGCCCTTGTGGGTTTCCATGATTCTGACTTTTAAAATGTATTTTATTATTTTTTATTCTGACTTTTTATGGGAGTAGAAAGTCTCATCTCTCTCTTGTGGAGCAGCTGGTGGTTTTGAACTGCTGGCTTTGTGGTAAGCAGCCCAATGCATACATAACCCATCATGCCTTCTCATTTGTACTAGTTGAGATGTTTCCAATAATAAACCTTCTGGAATTTGCATCACCTTTACTCCTAGCAATTTTGCAGTTCTAATTCCTGGTCACTCAGAAACCAAAATGTAGCAACGTCTAAGATCACACAGTGTTTTGTGAACACCAAATAGTTCTTAAAGAGTCTTTTGCGAGCCTGTTAGCTGAGAGCATGTAAATGATGTGAAAACACTTGTCTGGGTGTTGTCCATTTCCATCGAGTCAGCTTCCTCTCCCGTGACCGAGGTACAGCAGAATGAAATGTTGCCTGTCCCTTGCCCTTTCCAAGTTAATTGATAAGTTACAGGATCCCTGGTGGTGCAGTGGTTTCACATTGGGCTGCGATCAGCAAGGTCGGCAGTTTGAAACTCCTAGCCACCCCTTGGGAGGAAGACTGGACTTTCTAAGACCTTGAACAGTCCCAGTCTTAGAAACCCAGAGGGGTCTGCTATGAGTTGGCTTTGACTCGATGACAGTGAATTTAGTTTGGGTTTTATTTTTGATCTATTTAATCCTATTGTTAAAGCAATAGATATAGCTTACAGACTGATATATTGCTTCTGCTTAGAGGCTAATCTGGAAGTTGGCAAAGGAAGTGCCAGAAGGTTCTGCATAACCCCAAACATTAAAGCCCTCTTTTTGTGGAAGATCTGTGAATAAACTCATAGGGTTCTCTCTGTTTGCAGATGAAGATGAGTGTGCCCCCATGAGATGTGGCACCAACGCTTGGTGTGCTTCCAAAGGAGACAACGCCTCTTGTCAGTGTTTGACGGGATTTGCTGGCGACGGAAAACTATGTTCTGGTAACAGCGAAGTCCAAATATACTGACATCTGAAAAAAATAGTGAGCCAGAGACATTCTGGAATATCAAATATCCAGAAAACTTGATGTAATCAGCCTTCTTTTATATTAGCTAAGAAGCTAGTGGATGACATGCATACAAAATATGAAACATTTCATATATCATATTACATTGAGTTAGTTTAAAATTCTGTGCTATGGGCAATTGATAATCAGAGAAATTGTTATAGCCTGTTTCAGAAGCATGGCGTGGGCTTCAAGTCAAATTTATAAATTGTCTGATTCCAATAAAAGCGTAACCTCCTCACCCCACCCTACCCCTGCCCCCCAGACACTAAAGTTCTAGTCAGATAAATAGGATGTGATGGATAGATTTCAAATTTACATTTGATAGCCCAATGTTATGTTAATGATCACAGGAAGGAAATCACAGTCATTATGGCCTGAAACTCTGGCAGAAATTAATTTATTTACATGTTTGAGCTAATCAGATGGTGGAAACGGCTTCACAAATGACAGTGAAGAAGTCCAAGACTCAGGTTTCACATTTCATTTTTCCAGCAGTAACTATAAACAGCCGAATAAGAGAATGCAAGCATGTGCTGGTTCTCTCCTACGGTTGCCATTTTTGAGCCCTGGTGGCCCCGTGGGTGAAGCACTGGGCTGCTAGCCAAAAGGTGGGCAGTGTGAATCCACCAGCTGCTCAGAGGAGGAAAAGGTAGTCTGTTCCTGGGAAGACTGACAGCACTGGAAACCCACAGTGCAGTTCTACTCTGCCCTGTAGGGTCACACTAAGTCAGAATGGACCAAGAATAGTGGGCTTGGTTCGGCTTGGGGGGCATTTCCATTCTTCCAGGATTGCCTCTGTATTTCATGAACATATAACTTTCCCTACAGATATAGACGAATGTGAGAAGAATCCCACAGTTTGCCCTGCAGCCTCATCCCAATGCATTAATACCGAAGGTGGCTATGTCTGCAGGTGTTTAAAAGGCTACCAGGAAGATGGAATTCATTGTCTAGGTAAGAAAGTGGCAGACAATGGAGGGCAGTGTCATGTCTCAGGGAATCTTGAAGTGCTGTGCAGGTGGGATTCAAAAATTTAACAATTGGTTCGCTGCTCTAATTTCTGTTTTAAGTATAAAACGATATCTCATAGGGTTAATACTTAAATAGGAACAATAAAAGAGGTGCACAAGCTAAATTATGATAAAAGAAGGAGTTTTAAAATATTAAATACACCTGACAAAAAAGCAATAAAACTCTTATTAAGATATTTCCATATTGCTTCTTTTTTTTATTCGGGGCTGATACAACTCTTATCACAATCCATACATCCATCCATTGTGTCAAGTACATTTGTACATTTG